CTGTGTTCAAACCTCTGTAAACACCCCCGCATCACAGTCTTTGTCCCATTGTGTTGCAACCATTTATTTATGTATCTGTCTTCCCCACAAGACAGGAGCTCCTCGGGGACCAAGCCTGTCTCTCATTCTTCTTTGTAGTCCCCATCCCAGCACCTAGCAGGGAGCCTGGCACGATGCGAGTGCTCAGTGTCTGTGTGTGCAGTGAGTCACCACCACGAGGGGGCTGTGCCCATGGGACCAAGAGTGGCTCACAGCTCGATGGGGACCCTGGGAGGGCTCTGGGTGATGGCTCTGTGGCTCTCCCCAGAGCCACTGCCTGCGTGCTGAGAGAAGCAAAGTGCTAAGGACATTTACCAAGATGGCCGGCTCCCTGGTTGGCTCCCTGTGGCCTCCTCTTGCCCCATGCCTTGAAGCCCCCAGGAGAATCTGATCCATCAATCTCTGCAGCTGCCACTGCCTGGACAATTGACCCTTGTGGTGGTCACAGGCTCAGGTTTCTACTCTGGAGGATTGATGGAGCATTGCTTCGCCCTCTTTTCATCCTAACCACCTGCCTTGCTCAATATTAATCAGGTGCCTACTATGTCTAAGTCCCTATTCCAGGTGCTGATAGCTCTTATCTGGAAAGAGAGTCTGAGTGGCCTGTGGCTGTCATGATTTGACAGAGGCTGGCAGGGAGAAGATGGGGGTGGGGGCCGGACAAGCAGAGCAAGTCCTGGAACAGAAACGTCATAGATGCCAGGAAAACTGCCTCAATACTTCCAAGTGGCCCAGCGCTCTCTGCGGGGCCTGCTCAGCAGCACGCCCGGCTGGCTGGGGCTCCTTTCTGAGGGCCGGCAGGGACCCAGCCCGAGTTGTGCTTGCTTGGCAACAGGCATGGTCTGCACGAGCCTGGCCCACAAGGCTTCCAGCTTGGTGCTGGGCTCTGTCCCCAGCACCTCTTTTAAGGGGTAATCATTTTAATAAATATGAATTGTGGGCCTCTTGCCTGAGAGTGAAACTGAAATCGAATCCATAATCCAGACAGAGGGGAGTGCAGCTGCACTGGGTTAATTACGCACACACCAAGCATATGGCGGCGCACCTCCAGACCAACAGGCGGAGAGCGTTCTCCGGGATGCAATTAGTTCCTGTGCATGCATAAAAAATGAGCCAGTGCCTCCAAAAGAAAAATAAAATTGCTGAAGTCATAACCTCATACCAGTGTAATTACAATCACTGAGTCACGCCACTTAGGTTTAAGCAACATTTACCATCCGTTCTCACGCAGGTGGGCTTGCCTAGCGGTGGTTTTCTTTCCAGCCTCGCTCTGCCCCGGCCTTCCTCCCCTCCCCTGCCCCGCGCTCTCCTGCGGCACCCTCCTCCCCAAGTCCTCTGCACCACATTGTTTAACCCTGCTCCTCCAGGGTGATTTGAGGACTGAAACATTTTTTCTTAGAATAACAGCACAAATGCAGTGAGTGAGGCGCTTTGCATGCATTATCTACTGACCCTCGGTAGGTGATAATACAAACCCCACTTTTCAGGTGGGGACATCGAGGCTTAGGAAGTCAAGTGAGTTGTGCAAGGATGTTCAGCTAGTCGGAGCCGCATGCTTCCCATTATGCTCGGGGGACTTGGGAACGGAACAACCAAGTCATTTCATCTTTCTGAGTCATTTCCTCTTCCCTTTCTGGGAAAGTGTGATATTAAAACTGGCCTTCAGGGTTGTTCTGATGTGAGGGTTAAATGAAATCGTGCATGTGAAAGGGACATAGGCAGGGAGCAGACCTTCAACCGAGGTCTGCTGGGCAGAAGTGCAGAGTGCCTGGGAGCCCCCTCTGGAACCAGCACCCCCTGGGGTCGAAGAGCTCCTTTCCCTCTTCCTTCCTATCTTTGCTCAGATGTCACCTTGTCAGGGGCCTCCCTGACCCCCTAATTTGAGTAACAAGGCCCACCACTGGCACTCCACAGCCCTGTTCCTTGTTTTACACTTCTCACGGCACTCACCACCTTTTCACAGACTCTGCAATATACTCTTTGCTTCTCCCCCTCCCCACTGGAGTGTGGCTCCCTGGGCGGGGTGTTCCCAGCACCAAGGACAGTGCCGGGCCACTAGGAGGTGCTCAAAAATTATTTGTTGAATGAATGGGTAAATGATCAACCTCGGTCTCCTCATCTGTAAAATACCGCCCTCGTGGGTTTCTGTGAGGATCACATGAGATGGCTTCTCAAGTGCTTACCACGGCGCTTGACACTCGGCCCTTGCTCCAAACATGATGGTCATGAGAGATGGGACTTTGTTTTCCGGTCACCACTGTATTAATAACTCTAGTGCTCAGGACAGAGATTGGGATGAGGGAGATGTTCTCTGAATATCTGCCAAATGGGTAATTGTGTGAAGGTTCCTGGGGTCAGAGAAGGAACAGAAGGTACAGTGCCTGCTAACTCATGGGGCCCCTGATGTTCCTACCCCAAAGGACAGCCTTTGGCCTGTGGAGGGTCATCACTAAGGACGTTGTATTGCTCTGAACACAGCCACTCAGCAGAGCAGGCACCAGGCAGCTGATTCTATTAGGGAGCCTTCTTGACTGGGGGTAGAGACGCCAGATAAAATATGGGATGTCCAGGTAAATTCGAATTTCAGATAAACATGAATACTTTTTTTTTTAGTATAAGTATGCCCCATGCAATATTTGGGATATACTTATACTAAAAAATTGCCTTGTATTTTTATTTGCTAAATGTGGCACCCTAGCTAGGAAATGTGTTTTCAAGCCTCCCTGAGAAGATGGAGGCATCAGGAAGATCTTCTGGGCTGCAACCATGTCCTCTGCTGTGGCCAGGGGTGCTCAGCTTAAAGCTTTGGTGAGCTCAAAGGCAGAGACAGAGACAGGGGAAGCCAAGACACATGGGAGGAGTGTTGGTTGTTCAGTAGGGGAGGCAGAGGGGCAAGGAAGGGCAGGCACGGGGTAAGATGCGGCAGGAGCTGGTTCTCTGGGAAGTGGGTGTACAAGGGTAACAGTACAGGGTGACCCCCAGTGACAAAGACATCCTGCTCTTAGTTGCTTTTACTAACATACCTTGCACATTTGCAAATGCCTTCTCCCATTAATCTCAAGACAGGTGTCTCCTCCATTTGAGAGATAAAGTGATTGAGGTCTTGAGTTACCAAAAGCACTACTTGTGCTACCCCAGTAGTTAGCTGCTGAGCTGGGGCTCGAACCCTGTCCTCCTGATGCTGGACTCCTCTTGGGCAAGGGGTGAAACTAGGCCACACTGCCCAATCTGTGCCATTAGTGAACTTGGAAGGACCTGGAAAACCCCACTAACATTTCTCAGGGGCCCTCTACATCTGACATTGTGTCGTGGGCAGAGCTAGGTGCTTGCAACTCTGTGGCTTTGTCAGTCCTGCAGCCTCTGTGTTCTCCTCTCTATGCCCAGCCTCTACCCTGCCCTGGCAGGCTGCTCTCACCACCCCTGGGGGCCACTGTGTGAAGCTGAGATTTTAGGCCCATGGGGGGAGTTAGGCTGAGGTCAAACCTGGACAAAACCTCAGGACCAGAGATACAGCACCAACCCCCCCCTTGTTCTGGAGCCCCAAGGCTAGGGCTATTCCTCGACGCTGCAGTTTCCCAGGATGTCCAGCTGGGCAGCCTCCAGGCCTCCCCAGTCCAGTCCATTTCCCTTGCTGGGGCAAGCCTGACCATCTCCCTCCTGAGTATGAGAGCTCTTGGTGCCTGTTACCCAAAAGCTAATGAATCTCACCACCCTCCAAGGGTCAGGGAGGTGTGTTCCAGCAACTGAAACCCAACAGTGAGTCTAATCACCAATCTATAATTACTTTTCACACCTTAGCTACATCTTGGTGGTCCGCCTTGAGCAGAGTCTGTGTCTTATGCTAATGACCGCATACTGGGCCGGCCTGGGAAGGCTGAGGAGGGGTCTTCCAACAGCAAGGAGGCTGCTGGGATCCCCTTCCAAACTGGAATTTGAGAAGCTTTGAGGTAGATATCCTTGTGGAGTGGGGTCAGAATCCATGTTTTTCCCTTCATATGAGTCTGGGAGGACCATACACCTCACCTTTGACCTTTCCCAGAACCTCCTGATGCATCCCTCCACCCCAGCCAGATGGCACCCTCACATTAGGGCACTGGTTTATAAAGGGGCTGCCTACAGGCACGCGGCACCGTCCACCAGATCCACAGAGGGTAGCACGATCTGCCGGAGCACGTACGGCAGTGCTGCTACCGACTCTAGGCGAACAGGATGAGGGGAACCAGGAAAAGAGAATCGTTACATGGGCCCACCTTGAGAGGAGCTATGGCCTGCCACTGTGGGACACAGCCAGACCCAGGTGACCCACAGGAAGGCAGCCTAGGCAGTGCCCCAAGCCCACCCTCCTTCCTCCCCCACGCTCTTGCCAGAACTCCCATTGGCCAACCCCAACCAGAAGCCAGGGTGGAGGGGGAGGGCGATCAGACCTGGACGGAGACTGCCTGGCACTCCCGAGAACCCTGCCTGGTTAACAGCCAAGGGGATCGTTTCTGCACCCCGCCTGTCTCAGGATGGGAAATGAGAGGACACGGTTGGGGGGGGGTGTCCTGCTTTCCACATCAGCTCTGGGTGGGGCACTGATGTGGTGTGGGGAGATATTTTTAGAAGTTTCAGAAAGAAAATACAACCATGCAATTTGGTCTTAGAAGCCTGGGGACCTTGCCGTGTGTTTGTGTGAGACGTTGGCCAAGTCACTTACTGTCTTTGGGTCTGTGTTCCTGCCTCTACAACAGCATTGCTAATACTGACCACACAGGGCTGTCGGGAGGATTGCACAGGGTGAGAGAGTGGAAACCTCAGCACAGTGCAGGGCTCACAGGACATGTGCAGTAGGCATGAGCGAGTCTGAAATGGTGGCTGGTGGTCGCCTGGTAACCTCAGCTCTCCTTCAATCCCTGGCTTCTGCCTGTGCGCTATCGCTCTCTCTCTCTCTCTCTCTCTCTCTCTCTCTCTCCCTCCCTCAGGCCAGGCCCACCTCGCACATGGTGGATTCCAAGCCTCTGTCCAGCTTGCGGTCAGCTCCAAGAAGCCAGCTGCCACCCCACCTGCCAAGGGTGACACTTGCCAGCACTGAGACCATCCCAACATCTGGCCGTGCTCACTATGAGCACTGGCTCCAGCTCCAAGTAAGTGACTGTGCCACTCACTGGGTGTCAAGGTGAGCAGGAAAGGGCTGGGGGCCAGGCTGGGACGGAGGATGGAGGGGGACGCCCCCTGAGGGATCCTGTCCCGTGTACTCTGGGTAAGCAGCTAAGCAGCACAGGAAGAAGGGGCCTCCCGCCTGGGAGAAACCAGCAGCTGACTGTCTACCTTGTTAACTGGAGCACAATTAAGGCAGTTAAGAGTCGGAAGGCGCCTCATGTTTATTCATGTAGCTTTGACATACTATCTTTCTGTGTGGGTTACAGTCCCTGGGGTGCTTCGTGTGGCCACTCCCTCCCCCTTCAACTTTCTCTGCTCCACGCAGTGCCCCGGCACTCATCCTGCGCCTTCTCCCTCATCGACTCGTTTGCAGATCCGAAGTGAACATCTGTATAACGTCTTACAGTTTACAAAGCGCTTTTCACATTCGCTGCTTTGGGTACGTCTCACAGCAGCCCTGGATGGTTTCTAGGATCATCGTCCCTGTTTACAGCTGCTCTGGGCCCCACAGCCCCCAGAGAAAGGGGAGGCAGCCTGCGGGAGCAGCCCTGGGTGTGAGAAGGAGGATGGAGACGTCTGCACCGCTCCGCTCCGCATCTGCTCACTGGGGAAGGCCAGTTTTGCTGACCCAGGTAGTGGGGATGGAGACGCCGTGTTCCTGTGGGCTGGTGGGGGAGCGCTGTCCTCCTCCTCTCCTGGCTGGGCTCCTGAGGCTCCTTTTGCCAGCAGCACAGCAGGGGGAAGTGAATGCCCATCACTACTGCAGGGAGGGTGCTGGCCACCCTCTGTTGGAAGAACAGCGGTGGTAACCATTGTCTCCTCAGCAAATCTACGCCTCTGACAACCGCTGGGCCCAGGGCTCCACGGGACTCCACTGTCTTCTCCTCTCCTGCTGGTGGGATATTCCTAGGCATGCCTCCTTTCTCAGGTGAACTCACCTGTCCACAGGTGCCTCTTCTGGGAGGCTTTCTCGGACCCCATTATCTAAAGGGCCCTCACTAGGACTCTCCATCTTCTCATATGATTTCTCTCTACAGCATACCTTACGCCTGGTGATACATGATTTCCACTTCTTAACCGTCTATGCCTCCCTCCAAACACAAATTCCGTGAGGGAAGGGTGGTAAACTAAACATCTGGTGACTGAATGTGTGAATGAATGAATGAATGAATGATCTGGACCTTGGGGAAGGTTCAGCACATGTTTATGAGCACTGACTGTGCACCAGGTACTTTTATGGGGATTATTTTCAAAAGTCTTTTGATTCTTACAATAACTCTATGAGATGGCTTTCAGTACCCCCACTTTGGAGATGGGAAACTGACACTTGAGGGCTGGGTGGCTTGCCCAAGGGCGTTGGCTACTATGTTCCACACCTCCCAGAAAGACACCTTTAAGCATGTGGCTGCCCAAATTAGTGGACTTCAAGTCACATAGTCCTCTGCCTCCTCTCACCCCTGCCCACTCACTGAAACGATCACCCAGTCGTGTGAACACCACCACTGGACTATTTCTTGACCCTCCTTCACCCCTTTCTAGGCCAGCCCACCAACACCTCTCAGAGGCTGCCTTACCTTGACCCTTGAGGGTCTCAGTTCTCCTCTCTGTAAAATGGGAGTAACTTCAACCAACCCTGAGCCAAAGCCCCTCCAAAGGCCTACACGGTGGGGTGACTAACCATCCTGGTTTTGGGTGCTGCATTAGGATTTTTGAAGGTCCTTTGCTTTTGTGGTCCTCTCCCTGCATACAAAATTATTAAAAATCCGACTTTAAAACAGCATGGGCATAAAGATAAAAATAACCCAGGTTAGATTCATTATTGAATATTCATTATTATTTTATTCATTTTTATTATGATTTAAAAGAATTAAAATTAAAACATTTTTGTGGACCCCTAAAAATATTGTGTGCCCTAAGCGCTGTGTCACCAGTACCGCATGGAGAGGTTGGTTCTGCTGGTTTTAGCACTGAAAGTCCCACATCCCAGGAAAAACCCCTCAGCCCCATTGCTCTACTCTAAGGCCCCCATGATCCAGTCCCCATCGCCTCTCTGACCCCAACGCCCACGCTTTTCCCTTGGCTACTTCTACTCCAGACACACTGTGTCCCCCACCCTCACCCCCGCCAGGCCCTCATCAAACTAGGACACTCCTGCCTCAGGACCTTTGCACTTAACTCCTCCCCCTGCCTGGCATAAACACTCGGCTAACTATATTCAGATCTCTGCTCAAATGTCACCTTGTCAGGGTAGCCTTCTGGGACCACCAGTGCAGTAGCCCTCTCTCTAGCCCCCCTTCCTCCCTCCTCCTCATGTCCAGTTCTTTATCCACACAGCAGCCAGAGTGACCTTTCAAAAAGCAAATTTGATCACGTCTGTCTCCTGTTTAAAAATGTTTCTTGGTTCGCACTGCTCTTAGAAGAAGATCGAAACTCCCTGGCGTGACCTAGGAGGCCCTGGCGAGCTGATGCCATGCTGCAGGCTCCCGCAGGGAGGACGCCGTTGGGAGCTGCGTTGCTGACCCTTTAGAGGTCGTCTTCTCCCAAGGCCCTCCAAGTGCACGGCCTGCATGGCCCCTTGTGAGAAGCTCTGTGGGTCACCTGAGCCTAGCATCACCCCATCTAAGAAGAGAAGAGACCTCAATGGGCCAGGGAAGGGCTGGGATTGGTGCTGAGGGGAAGGGGGGATGGGCCAACTCTGCAAGGCCCTGCAAGTTTGGAGTTGTTCTTTTGCTGAGCCCAGCTGCCACCACTGGGGAGACCCTGAAGGACACGGGGCCCGGCTGGGGAGCAGTGCCAGGGATCTGCTTGGAAATATTTGCCTTCTTTCAGCCCTGGGCATTGTTGGAGGCTGGACAATGGTTTCCAGAAGCCATAATATGTGGATTTTACAGAGTACAGTTAGGAAGTACCTCCTTGAGCCTGCCTTATATCTTACACACTGTGATTTCACTCCTCAGTGGAAATGGAGAGCAAGGAGATCCTGCCGCCACGCGCCCTTTGTTTCCATGAAAGCCAGGCCCTACTAAAACCATGAAAGTGAATATTCATCCAGCCTGCATCACGCGGCAACCACTGTTCTAAGCTCTTTCCATGCACAGAGTCGCTTATTCCTCACAGTAGCCCAGGCAGGTGGGTACTCTTTGATAGGATGAGAGTTTGGAGCTCCTATCTACTCCACCCTACTGATGATGCCAGGGTGGCCCGTGGCTTTTCCCCCACCTCAACCCCTTTTGGGAAGGAAGCCTGTGCATTCTCCAGGAAGGCGCCCTAAGGGCAAGCAGGAACAATCCTGAGGAGATCCTCCTTGGTGCTGTTCTGATGCAGCCACAGCCGAAGTTGACGTAAGTTCCATAGTCGTAGGTACTACCAACAATAGTTGTGGTGGACGCTTAAAAGATAGTTGGTGAACAAAATGATTTATTGAGCATCTATTTAGTGCCAGTGCTCTAAGAGGTAATTTGCACACATTGTTTCATTTAAACCACACAAAAACCCTCAGAAGTAGTTATTGTTAATTCCATGTAAAAGGTTAGGAAACAGCAGCTTAGGGAGAATAAGTAGTTAAACCAAGGCCACACAACTAGTAAATGGTGAAGCACTGATTTGTCCCCATGTCTGTTTGACTGGCTTCTAACAACTTAGGTGCGTGATTAATACTTGCTAGGTGGCTAACAAAAACTGTGCCTCTGACAGTTCTACCTGGGATAAAAACACCAACCTCGTGCACACGGTCCCTTGGGGAAGAGGTGTTTGGGGAGTGGGAGAGGAATTTGGAGCCATCTTCCCCAGCCTGGCCCCCTGGCGTGGGATTTAGCCCTATCCGCGCTACTAATGCATGGCCCACGCTCCCACGCTCCCTCCTCAGCCATATCTACCCTTGAGCCGCAGCTGTGAAATCGTAGTGACAGATCCAGTTTCATTCCCAGGATGAGTCTGTGATTGTGTCTGCCTCAGCAGGGAGGTGACCCCTGTTTTGTCCTTGCCCCATGACAAGTGAGCTCTCCTTTCTCATTCAGGAAGCTACTGGAACACCACCTCCTCCCTCAAGCCTTCCTGGTTTGACCAGATGTCGGTTGTCAGTTGATGCAGGTCCCTCCATCAGAGGGAAAAAAACTTTGAGCCCTGATCTTAGCTATCGTCTGTCCCCATCTTATTAGATCATCAATGGGACATCTCTGTGAATACTGAGCTCCCAGCAAGAAAGTCCCTCTGTGGGTCTCAAGGGAAGTCCTCTTTCAAGCAGGAGCTGTCTAGCAGAGGCTATCTCACCATCTCCCATTTCCAAAGGGACTCATAGGATCTTAAACGGTGGCTGTAAAGCCAAGAGGCAGAAAGGAGAGAGAGAGAGGGAGAGAGAGAGAATATGAATAGATGACAATGGGGTGGGGGCTTCCATTAAAAAGATACAGGGAGAGTTTCCCAGGGGGGGCTCTGTGGAGGCCACTATAACCTGAGTTTACACCCTGGGTTCCAGTGAAGATGTGTTCCAACTCCAGCCAAAGACTTAGGCACATGAAAGCACTTTATGTTTAGATGTTGGGACTCTTCTGGACTTCAGCTGTACAAATCCCTTTCCTTTGCCTCCCCTAGCCCAGTCTCAGGAACTTGGAAAAACAATGTTTTGGAGATCACTTTAAAAGCCTTCTTTCTCACTGTGCAGATAAGAAAACTGGGCTCCTAAGTCTTGCCCCAGGCCCACTGCAGGACCCTGCTCCTGTGTTCACGGAAGGAAGCTGGTGCCAGGAGGGGCCCATTGGGAGGGGGACAGAATGCGTCATCCTCTTGTATCTCCCTCACCCTCTCCTTCCCTGCTCCTGAAGGCAGAATTTCCAGGCAGGCAGAGCAGGGGTGGGGGTGCAGGGAGAGCTCTGCAGGGAAGAGGGGCCTGCAGGGCCAGGGCAGACACCAGTGACAAGAGCAATTTATTTCCCAGGCACAGATTAGACGGCAACTGAGAAATTCTTCCTCATGCCATCCATCAGTGGGCCGCCTCCAGCAGCCTCCGTGGGGTCAGGAAATTTGTCTTGACTGCTCTGCTCTGCCACTTTATCTGGGCTCCTGTGGCTTGAGTCATGCTAGAGACCCCAAAACCAGCAGAAGAAATCCAGCCCAATGATCATCCACAGAGCTCGGACCTTCTGAACGGCACCCACCCGCTCCTCCCCACCCTGGGCTGCACAGACTCCCCGAAGGAGGGGACGCAGCCCCCATGGCCTGCAGGAACGAGGGCTTTTGTTACCTGGCACTGGCTGGGAAAGAAGCATCCCTTGGAGACTCTGCCCAGGTATCTGGATCACTGGGATTTCTCCAGCCTGCCTTGACAAGAGGGCACTGGCTCAAAGCACAGTATTACTGAAGGGGTTGGAAAACTTTGTCTACAGAGGGCCAGGTAGTAGATATTTTAGGCTTACAGCCCATAAAGCCTTTGTCACAACCACTCAGCTTTGCCATTGTAGTGCAAAGGTAGCCATAGACAATACGTAAATTCATGGGCATAGCCAAGTATCAATAGAACTTTGTTTTTAAAAACCTAGTAAATGGACCATGAGCTTAATGCTAATGCTCCAAACACTTGGGAATTTGGAGACCCTCTACTGCCTTAATAACATTTGTCAATTAATAATGGTAACAATAAGTTTTACAGTGCAAAACCATAAACTAAGCAATGGGGTCACTGGAGTTTACCCTAAATTCTAATATGATGAGTCTATAAACGGTATCACCAAGTCTCAGAAACCAAGGGATCAGCTCTTTCATGGATCTAGGGCTATTAGTTCTCACAATATCCTTAATCAGTGTTGGACAGAACTGTGCAGGAGTTTAAAACGTAGGCTCTAAGGTCATATTATTTGGGTTCAATCCTTACTCTACTACTTATTAGACATACAACCCTAACATCCCTTGACTTAGTTTCCTACTCTGTAAAATGGGGGCAATAACAGTTTATACCACAGGGTTGGTATGAAACTGAATGAGTCATTACAGGTAAGTTATTTGGACAAGTGCTTGGCACCTGGTCAGTCTTTACATCTAACTGTTGCCAGATCTTAGTCAACCTTCACTAAACACTGACCAGGGGACTGGATGATCTTGGGTGACAAAAGAGGCTGAGGTATGAGGACACTTGGTTCCTACCAGATGTGCAACAGGTGACCATTCCCACCTGGGCACCTTGGCATCGGACATTTGGGATTTCTCTTTTGTCTTTGCATATTGTGATTAGAATAGGCTGGACTAATTATAGCAAAGAGTAGAAGAAAGAGAAAGGACAAGGAAAATACATTTACTGAGTTGCCACAATGGCTGGGCAGTGCTAGGTACTTTACATACTTTAATTCATAAAATCTACACAACCACCCTGCAACGTAGGCATTATTATCCTCATTTTATAGATAAAGAAATTAAGTCTCAGAAAGGTTATATGACATGTTCAAGGTCACCGAGACTGCCTAATTGCAAGTTCATTCTTTCATTAAATATTTATTTTTCACCAGGTGTGTGTCAGCCAATAACTATCCTATGTGTTTGGGAAACAGAAAAAGAAAATCAGTTTATAGTCTAGATGGGAAAGATGAGAATTTACATCAATCATCAAGGTGGGGCTGCAAAGGAAGGTTTGGGGAAAAGGACGCCTTCACCAACGAGGAGACACTTAACCTGAGACTTGAAGGATGAACGGAAGTCTCCTGGGAGGATAAAGGAGAAAAGGTATTCCAAGAGGTAACATCACATGCAAACACGCAGAGGCATTAAATAACATTGTGCTTTCAAAAATAGTCATTCATCTGCTCGGGCAGGGTTGCAAGGGCGAGCAGAGGGCAATGTGGCCGGAAAGGCAGGTCACAGAGGACTCAGGGAGGCCCTCGTGCTCATGGTGAAGTTTCAACTTGCTCCTGCGTGTGATGGGGAGACATTTAAAGGGTTTTAAGGCCAGGCGCGGTGGCTCACGCCTGCAATCCTAGCACTCTGGGAGGCCGAAGCAGGAGGATCGCTTGAGCTCAGGGGTTCGAGTGAGACCCTGTCTCTAAAATAAGCAAGTAAGTAAGTAAATAAATAAAGTGTTTAAAGCCAGGTAGCAACAGAATCAAATTGTGTTTTAGAAATAAAAAATGGAGGTTGGACTGGAGTGGATGAGGCAGGATGCAGAGATACTATCTACCACTGAAGTTAACTGAAATAATCCAGGGTAGGAATGAGGAGGGCTAACTAAAAAGTGGCAGTGGGGATAGAGTGAGGGGGTTAGATGTGGTGGAGGGTGGGTGTCTGGATGGCCAGATGGAGAAGGAGAGAAGGACACATGGTCTTCTCTCAGTCCCACATGGCACTCACCGATCAGGGCTGGAAGCAGCACGTTCAGCGGGCCCTGAGAGCCCACCTGGGGGAGCAGTGGAGGGTACTTGGAAGGTTCATGGGGTAGCCCTGCATTCTAATCTGGGTGAGGGTCCTGGGGTGGGGGAACCTCACGTGATAATGCCCCTTCTTTTAGAACTTAGCTTGGTGTGAACAACTTTCAAATTTCTTTCTTTCTTTTCTCTCTGTCTTTTTATTTTTGTATTTCCATAAAATGTGAATTTTAATAATTATTCTGGGACCCAGTTATCTGGCTTTTTAAGGGTTGGAGGAAATACTGCAAACAAAGAAGAGCAAAGGGAGGACTTCCATGCACCCAGCCTTCCTTCTGTGTAGCTGGGAAATACCTGCCTCACTCTCCTCATCCCCCCAGACCCAATCAGCCCTCGCTACTGCTGTAGTTTTGCTCTACTGGGAGGGATCCTGCGACCACAGAAGGTGTCTCAAGAGAAACTCCTGACTCAGCAAGGTCAAGCAGTTTCCCAAACTATGCCCGTCAGATTGACTCACAGCAGTCCCCAGCCATGACCTCACAGGCAGGCACGTCAAGAGAAAAGGGCAAGGATTTCCAAGGAGTCACAGGATAGCGTGCATGTTTGTGTGCGTGTGCATGCATGGATGTGTGTGCGTGTGCGGGCATGAGTGTGTGTGCGTGTGCGCACGTGTGTGCGCATGAGAGAGAGAGAGAGAGCACATGGTGGGGGGAGGGAAGGAAAGGGAAGAGGGAGAAAGACATAGAAGGAGACAAATACGGTCAGAGAGCAACAAAGAGAATGCTCACGTACAAGAGAGGCACAGGCAAGAGACAGGGAATAGGAAAGAGGTATGGGGTGGCAGCGATAGGGAGCAGACTGGTCCCAGGAACAGCCAGCAACTCAACAACCCCATCTCCATCCTGAAAGTGTCCTTGGCCATGGTGCTGAACTCTAAGGCCCTGTGATCCCGTAGAGGTGGGTGAACCATGCACGCGATGACTAAGCTGGTATGTTCACCAGCTTCCTTGTCAGAGTGACTGAGTACCCACTGTATGCTGCTACTTGCTTTCACATGTTGTCTCTTATTTAATCACTCAATAACTTCCTAACACATAATTCCAAGAACTTGCTTTAATCCCAAGGTCTTGCCTTTAGCTATTCAAGCCGAGCTATGGTAGGGGGCAGGTACTGACTGCAACTATATGTTTTACTTTATGATGACCTTTAAAAGAGGCATTTAACTGATGACCAAAGGGTCCAGGGCTCCACAGAAAGTGAGTCAGCGGGGACCTTGTCAGGGACATGTGCCACCAGAATGCTGCACGTGTGTACTACCAGGGTCAGGGCCCTGGGAAATTTTAGGTGTTACTGCAAATAAGTATTTTTAAAAGAACATAGTAATGATGTATCCAAAAGAGAATTCTTCAGAGTAGAGATTCTAACAACTCCAACACATTCCAATTATATTGCTATCATTCAAAACAGTTTTGGACTCCTTTTTGGGAGTCCTTAAAGACATTTATTTATATGTTTTCAATTGTGAAAATTCTTCATTTTGTGGGTGCAGATTTTTTTAAGTAGAATCCTTTTGATCATTTTAGTTTTTAGTGTTAATTTTTTAAGAGACTATTTTAAGAGCAGTTTTAGGTTCACAACAAAATTAAGCAGATACCATTTTATCTTTCTGCGTTTCTCTGTTCTTGTTTCTTTAAACACACACACGCACAAACACACACACGCTATGGCTGAGAAGCTAAGTAGTGCTATTTTGAGTCAAAAACAATGTGCGACTCTAACGTATTAAGGCCGACTTTCTTATTTGACTCCTAAATCGGCCCTAATGGCCATTTCCAGAGAGGAATTCTACAACCAATCAAAAATGCCAACATCACTGGATTAGATATGCAGCCTCCCAAGGAAGCCCTTTGAAGGGCACTGCAAACTTTTAAATATACATCATAAAAAAGAAATCCCATGAATGCTAATTAAAAAAATTATTTTTATTGCTTTTGTGTCCTAGCTCTGCCACTTAGTCACCTGTGTGACCTTGGATAAGTTACCTAACTTCTCTGTGCCTCTGTTCCTTCATGGGTAGAAAGGAGATAACAATAGCTGCTAATGAGTCGGTAACAGCAACATGTGCTTAGAACAGTGCTCAGCGCACAGTAACCCCTCCGTCCATGACTGCCTTCCGTGGTCACACCATACGTGCTTTTGCCCTTCATCTTCTAGGCATATCTTTGGGTGGGAAATCCAATGAGTTAAGCCATCGGGTAGGTGCTTCATATATGTTTTTTTTTTTTTTTTTTTTTAATCCAAATAGAACTAAACATAGCTCCTTTAGGAGGTGAATGAAAACAGCACTGTCTCTTGGATAGATTTGTAAGATCGACATGTTTTGAGTATTTTCTGAATATGCACAGCACAATCCTGGGCCATAACTGTGGTGAGACTGGGAAGTTGGAAGGGAAGTCTGCCTTAGGGCCCTCTGAGAGCACCCCTTTGCCCCATGGGAACACTGCTCACTGCTATTCCCACGCAGTGGCAGCAGTGCAGGCCGGGCTCTGTCCTCTCAATGGAGCTCTTCTAATCACACTGGAAAACAGATCTTGCTAAAGTGTTGACTTAGGAGATAGTGACGAGCCTAGTACTGTATACAACACAGTGTTTTGGTGGGTTAGAGCACAGGCTATGGGGTCAGGCAGACCTTGGTTCCAATTCCGGCTCCAACATGCAGAAACTGGGTGACCCTGAGGAAGCTACTCCAAGCCACAGAGCACCATCTGTCAGAGGGGGATGATCTTAGCCCCTACCCCACTGGGTTGTCCCCACATGTCAATGAAATAGGAGCACGGAGCACTCAGCAGAGTGCCTGGCACACTGAGCACTCCGTATGTGGTTGCTGTTACGGTAATCCCCCCTTATCCACGGTTTCGCTTTCCACTGTTTCAGTTACTCGTGGTCAACCACAGTCTGAAAATGTTAAATGGAAAATTCCAGGAATAAACAATTCATAAGTTTTAAATTGCGTGCTGCTCTGAGTAGCATGATGAAATCTCATGCTGTCCCTCTCTGTCCTGCCTGGGACATGAGCCTTTGTCCAGAGTAGCCACTTTCTATGCTACCTGTCCATCAGTCACTTAGTAGCCTTCTCAATTATCAGATTAAATGTCATGGTATTGCAGTGCTTGTGTTCAAATAACCCCTATTTTACTAATAATGGCCCCAAAGAGCAAGAGTGTTGTGCCTAATTTATAGATTAAACTTTATCATAGGTGGTATGTATAGGAAAACACACAGTATATATGGGGTTTAATACTATCTGCCATCTCAGGTATCCACTGGGGGTCTTGAGATGTAGCCCCTGAGGATAAGGGGAGACTCTTATAGTATTATAAACAGCTGATTATAATAACAACAACCATTTATTAAGCACTTACTATTTACCAAATATTTTGTTAAAGTGCTTTGTGGATATATTTTATTTCAACTCCATGATAACCCTTTGAAGTGTCATCCCCATTTTACAGTTGAAGAGACTGAGGCCAGGGAATTTAAGTGGTTTTATCCCACAGTCATACAAACAGTACGTAGTGAGTTGGGATTTGAACTTGGGATGCCTTGACTTCAGGGCTTGTGCCCTTGAGCTCTGTGCCATGCCTCCTCCAGTGTGCTATCTATCCTGCTGCCCATGGGCCCTCTCACTGCAGGGACACCAGCGCATGCTTGACTGACATCAGAACACTTCTCTCTCCTTTCCTTTTCCTTATCATAATGTATCCTCTCAAAAAGTCTGCTCTATACTTCAGACCTTTCAAAGTGAGCTCATGAGACTTGGAACTATACAAGTTGTTAGAATTATCAGACAGAAGCAGTGCTCCTGGAGGCTCCCTCCTCTGCCTCTAGGACCCCCAGGAATCCCAGATATGGGGTTCCTTCCTTGCCTCTATTCCAAATTTGCAGCCTGAACTTTCTCCTCTTGTCACATCATCACCTCACCTTCTTCCCTCTCAGTACCACTATGGGACCTTGAATAAGTTGGGGCTAAGGCCATATATTCTTCCAGAGATCTGGTAGTCCCTGCTTACAGACTGGAAACAGAAACAGAAGCTAAGACCAAAAGTGAACAAAGATCAATGAGTGCTCAGAAGACAGAACTGGGACCAGAACTCACTTTGTGCTAAGCCCAGTCTTGTCCCAGACTACTCCTAGATCTCTCTCATTCCCATCCACAATGATGACACTTCCGAGTGCCCATCTGCACACAGTATTGGTGTAGCTGGACGAGGGACAGTCACAGGGTACTCAGAGCTCCAAGCAACCCACTGCTCCTTGTGCTCAGGAAGGAAGAGAGGAGTGAAAGCAACACAGAGAACACCCACCGTATTCTCTCACTGCCAGGAGGTTTCATGTGCATCACCTCATTTAATAATACTGCAAGGAGTATCATTAGCCTGCTTTTACAGATGAGGAAATTGGAATTTGTAAAGGTTAACATGCAGCCAGTAAATGGTGGAACCAGGTTTGGGATTCGTATCTGGTAGAGTCTGTACTTTCTCTGTGTGTATTTGTGTATATGTGAAGATGCCTTCCCCAAAGAATGAACATACATGCACCTACACATAGGAACTGAAATATAGTGTTTATATTAAATACATGTCAAGGAAAATT